CACACACACACACACACACACACACACACACACACACACACACACACACACTATCAATATTTCAGCATCTAATTACCCCAGCAGGGGGCTGGGACAAAGGTTGTGTGCAGTCATGCCGTGTATGTCTGCACGTATCAGATTTTATACCTGTACATTAATACACAGTAGCCAAAAAAAACCTCACAGTGTAAGTGAAACATCCTCCAACGGTGAGGCAATGTTTAGACGGACAGAAACAAAATGATAAGGGAAGAAAGAAAAGCAGTGATAGGAGTGACTGTAAAAAAGAAGAAAAGGATGTAAATGGAGAAAAAACTTGGAGTAAATAAAGGGAAATGTGAAAGAAGAACGAAGGATGAAAAGCAGGAAAAAGAGTCAAACAGAGAGAGAGCAAATATTCACAGATAATTAAAAATAGGAGGACAGGTTAGGCTGTAGGAGAGGGTGAATAAAGAAACACCTCTCTCTAAACTAGCTGCAAAAGTATGCAAGCTACACAAGAGAGGCTACCTCCATGTTTAAATGATTTATCACAGCTTGTGTCCTTCTAGCAGGGCCTTCGAGAGAGGACATTTAAAACAACTACAAACATGTTTTGAGCTGCAAACACGATGTGAGCATATCAGTATTTTATATCATATCAGTTCTGAAAGTAAATTCTGGTTTACAGCCTTTTTAGCAATACTTCCTGCCAGTGCAGGGGTTAGTTTCCACCTCACTTCCAGTACTTACTTTATCTAGTGAATGTTTAGTGGCTGTTTTTGCTGTTAAAGAATGAGGACTGTTACAGGATAAAGCACATGCCCGCCCCTCCCTGACCCTGATTCTGCTGAAGGTTTCTTCCTGTTAAAAGGGAGTTTTTCCTTCCCACTGTCACCGAGTGCTTGCTTGCACCGAGTGACTGTTTTTCTCTCTGTTACTGTAGGTTCTTTACCTGACAATATAAAATGCTTTGAGGTGACTGCTGTTGTGTTTTGGTGCTATATAAATAACTCTGAATTGAACTGAATTTGACTTCATGCAGCTTTAATTCTTTTAAATACCAAAGAATTGCACTAAGAACTGAAACCACTAAACCCTGACTCATCTCTCTCCTCATGACAGTGTGGAAGCTGGATTTTTGGTTTTAGAAGACTTTGACACGGCTGTGCTTTAGAGAGCGGTGCTATTGTCACCTAAACCTTATCAGCCTGAATAACCAGAGCGTGCTAACAGTCTGTGGACCTAAATCTAATTCCTGCTTGCCCTTCATGACCTACTGATAGGCCTGAGGGAGGTACTGCATACCCCCCACTGAGTCAGGCACACTGGCTAAATTAAAACCCTTTAATTGGACAGCTGTGAACTAATATGGTCCAAAAGGCAATCGGTTTTGGGTTGCTTTCCAGGACAGACCCACTTGAGAGAGACTGGACATTTTAGTTACTGTGACAAAAAACAAACAAACAAACAAAAAGCTTCCATTTACATAATTTAAATGAAAGATAATAATTTAAATGAAAAACTGTAGACCACATGATCAATGCGAAGTCTCCATCCTGCATAGTTTCTGTGTTTATTAAATTAGATATATGAAAATTTAAGCATTTGTAATGCATCCCACGCAAACATGCCTTTTGCATCACATTTGGTTTAACACATTTAGCTGCTGTGTATGCATAAAAAACAACAAAATTCATGTGACTCATGTAATTTAGGACAACCTCGATGGGTGTTTGCCGGAGCTCTGCAGGCCTCATTTCTCCTCAAGAATAGCGTTTACAAAAGTGGGTACCAGCATGACGCAGCCAGAACCACAGAAACTCTCAAGATGCATTTTGTGTAATGCAGAAAAAAACTAATCAAGTCGAGAGCATTTATAGAGCACCTTTTAAAGCAACAAATGCTGAGCGATGCCGACGGTCTAAACACATAAATGCATCTATAACACATAATAAATCAACCACTGCCAGCTAATCAAGATCAAATTTAAAACAAAGTCAAACTTGCATTTTTAAAGTATCAAAAGTAGTGGCCTGTTCCTAAGCTTAAGGGTGGCAACTGAAAAACCAAAATCCTCCTTTATTTTAAATAAACCAGGAGCATCTGGTCAGATCTAAGCAAACTGATTGGGACACGAAAGTAAACAAGTCCCACCAAGTTATGAAGGAGCCAATTATTAAGAATATATTCCCTATATTTTTGACAGTGTCCTGCCATTTAGTAAACCAGAGGAGCGAGCTTCAGCTCAACTTTATGTACTCATTAAGCAACTTTCTTTATTCCCCCTGATGAGATAGTGTCACCAAAGAGCCCATTTTACTAAGACAACCCCCCCCCCCCCCCCACTAATTTATTTATGGATTAATAAAGTATTCTGATTCTGATGAAACCAGAATAAATACCAAATATACACTGAACTCTACTTTAAATATTTCAATTGTTTCTGCATGCCTGCAGACTGTACTATATGAAAAACACATCTCTTACAGTGACAGTATCACATGTCATGTCTTCAGCTTGATTCTTTGCCTCCAGAAAGACAAAAAGAAGTCAAATAATTCAGCTGATGCTGTTGTTGCTCATATTAGCTGGTTGTGCTGAAACATTAGTGTCAACATGACTTTTAGGCAATGCCCAGTTCAGGAAATATGCATTGTAATGTGCAAATTAAAGATAAAAGTATAAAAGCTTGTGAGTACCCAGGGAGGGAGCAGGAGTAGCAAACCTGCAGCACTTTATGCTCAACATTTAAAGATACTGCAGGTTTGATACATGCAAACAGTGTGATCAGTAAGAATTGAAGGAGGAGTGTTAAAAAGGAACCAGAGATTAATCATGTGCAGCTGAACAAAGTATCAAACAAAAAAACAAGGGCCAAAAGAGAGAGACCTTTTCACTGACACCGATCCCACAAAATAACGTGTTTACATTTGAAATACGATGTCCCGAAACAAGTCACACTTCAGCCAAATATCATTCATATGCTGAATTTTCCAGTGTTTAAATTTGAGGGAAAATTGTTCTGAGAGGCAGATGTTCAAACATGTTCTATTTTTTTGGTCTATTTTCTGTATAATAAAAGTGGTTTCTGTCATGCATTTAATATTATTATTATTAAACAGCCTGATATGATACCAGTGCAAAAAGCAAATAGCATTAAAGACGCAGACTAACATCCCTGCTTATGTTTACATGATTTCTGAACAACTGCTGTTTGATGAATACTGCAATGCTGAATTTGCACGGGTATTTTGTCTGTGTGATTACTGCATCGATATAATTCAACATGTTGTAAACTTGTTAAATAGTTCTCTTAATATTTTAAGAAAGAAATAAAGACATGCCACCTGGAACACCATGTGGGAACACATGGTGATCCCTTAAATCACACACACACACACACACACACACACACACACACACACACACACACACACACACGCAGATTTAGGAGATTATGAATAAAGCCAGTATGCCTCTGTAAGCCTCACCAGTTTGCGTGATCTGAACACTTCTTGCCTCTTCTGTTTCACTCTCCGTCTCCTGTTGATCCACTGCTGGTCTCGTTTCAGACGTCCTGTGTGGTGGATGGAAGGATGAAGAAAAGGAAAAAAGACTGAAACTGTTGTTAGTTCCACAGTGTGACACTTTTTTTGTCCTTTCCACACCTTTTCTCGTATATATGCTTATTTCCAGTCTCTAACTTTCTCAGTTTCTTTCTCTCTTTCTTCTTCTGTTTGCTTCCAGTGTTAAACTCTCATACATGACTAATTCTCTTCTTCCTACATCTGTTTTTGCACATTCTCTCACTCTTCCTCCGTGAAGTCATACAGAGGTATAAGAATGGCTCCCTTCTCCTCCCTTCCTCCCTCCCTTTCTTGCCGGTATTAAGAGTGACACGGCAAGCTGCTCATTCACTGCCACTGATCCCTGTTTCCCTGTGTGAGAGAGACAGAGTTAGTGGGGGGTGATGTGGTTCAACATAGAGGAGGTTGTAATTAGACACAACACACACACACACACACGTCATGCAGAGAGAGAGAAAATGTTGCAACAGTTGCATCAATGCAGACAAAAGAAAATCGTTGCATGCACTACTTTCATAAATAGGCTGCAGTAAAAGTCTATTTCTGTCCTTACGGGCACAGTCTATACTGATGTGATCTCCTAAGGGCTGATTATTGGACCCCAACATTATGCCCATTTAAAGGACCAAAAAGCAGTAAGAGTACACATTTTTACCACTCGTAGATTTTATTGTGCAGTATCAGGAGAAAGTCTATGTTCTCCTAACATAAACTGGGCTTTCTCCAGATGCACTTGTTTCCTCGTACAGTCCAGAGACATGCATGTTCGGTTAATTAGCAGTTTTCTTTGGGCTGTAGTTCCACATGTGATATTTGAGTGGCCAGCAAGACAAGAAAAGTTCTATCCATTTCCAATTTTCTGCAACAATAACAATACTTAACAGAATTAATGAGACTCATGTAACGAACTCTAAAATATCCACTTTCAGTACTACTCTCCAAAAGGCACAAAGCACAAGGGTCCAACTAAGTGCCTCACGCACAGGATTCACTTTGAGCACCTTAACGATCCAGCGATAAGCTGTTAAAAGTACAATAAGAGAGAGCAGCAAAATGGTTTGATCAGTCAGAAGATCAGCCAAAAACATGTACTGAGTTTATATCAAGCCAATCTTTAAGTTTAAAAGTTTCAGGAGCAGTACAGATTACTTCTGAATAAAACGTGAGAAAGCAACTAAGATGCATCTCCCCATATTTTTAGGAAATGTCATCTTGTTAATCGGTATGATGATTAAGTACATGATTAAATCTCTTCAAGCACATTTCATTTGATATTACTAGTGAAGAGAATCCTTCTTCAGGGAAAGGAAATATGTGATCTTCTCTCTTTGAGTTACAAGTTGAACAGCTGTGAGTGAGCACCTGAGAATAAGAGCACTATTAGTTACATTTAATTAAACACATACTGCTCTAGCTCAACATTTTATTTGCCAGTATGTACCATTGTTTTCCAGCTCTGTTATATATTACAATATTAGAGCTTATGAATATTTATGATTCACAACAATTTGAAAATGTAAGCCAAAAATCTAATCTAATTATTATGTGTGATCTGAGTTTATTTTTGCATTGTTAGTGTGTTAGTGGTGTTCTTTTCTTTGTCTAAGTGCATTTAATTAGACTGCAGTATACTTATATGCAGTATTTAAAAAATAACTATACTACACTTCTTTAAACATACCATTTAGATGATCAACTTTGTGACAAAAACTATACTTTCACTATTTTAAACAATTTGCTTGACTATTTATATGAAATTAATATTTTTTTGAAAAACTGACCTGGACAGGCTTTCCACATTGCTGTTTACGGTCCTCTAGTGGCCACAGTTAGAAACTGCAACATACTAAATAAAGATATGATAGCAAATTAAAGCATCGGAGAAGGTCTTTCACACTCATTGTGCATATAATAGGGAGAAAAACAATTTTTTAAATAATTTTTAATATTTTTTTTACTAGGACTGAGGGTCATGCCACTGATGTAGTCAAACTCAAATATACGCAACAGGCATATTCCTACATCCTGTAAGATGTTTTTGGAAATTGTGCAAGATTTAAATTTTTGAAGGACAAAGCAAGAGGTGGGTACTAAAAGATGTTTTGGTAAAAATTTGAGTTATTCTTGACACGAGCCGTCGAGAGCATGACGTCAGTACGTCGTCGCTGGGCGGGGCGGGGTCGTGTTGTTGTTGCTGTTGTGCTGAACGTGAAGCCTCTTTAAACACACGATTCGCGCTTATTTAAAACCTCAGATAATACCATCATCATCTTCATCTCCGTAACGGGCTCCTGAGTCTAACGGTTTTTTCCCCTCGCCTTTTTATCCTGAGTCAGGATGGGAAGCTGTTTAACTGTGGGGCCAAACGAAGCGTTGGTGGTCTCCGGTAGGTGTTTCCCGTCGTGTTGATGGAGCGAGCTAGCGGGGATGGGGAGAAAGTAGCTGATAGTGTTAGCTGGCAAACTAAACCACGTTTGGCATTCGGTTTTTAAAATAAGTGCAGAGCGAGCCAGTGCTTTTAGAGCGCACAGTTACTGTGTAAAGTGAATAAGTTAGCGGTCGTGTGGTTTCAGAGCTTAAAAGCTGCGACGCTGATCAGGCGGTGCGTTAGCAGTGATTTGGATCATGTGATTGAAAGGCATCGGCGTCTCAACGCAGATATGTGAATAGGTCAGGTTTTTATGTTTTATTGATAACAAGTGTGATTTATTAATAAGCGGATTTGAAAATCAACAAAGTGCATTCACTCAAGTATTGTACTTGAGCAGAAATTTTCCCTACTTGAGTATTTCCATTTGGTGCTACTTATTTCACAGCTAATGGAGAACGGTATGTCTACATTTATGTCACAATAACGGGTTAATTTTAATATTTTACAAGCTCTAAACACATCGTTAAAGATGAAATCATTGGCTTCCAACCAATCTAATGAAGTAGCCGAGAAGTGTATATAACAGAACTTTTACTTTTACTGCATTTTAAGGCTATTTTTACGTACTTCTTCTCAAGTAGATTTTTCCATGGAGGATTTTTACTTAAGTAAATGATGTGAATACATCTTCTACCACCGTTAATGAGCATGGTGTAGCTAAAAGTAACAGGTTTAGTCATCCTGAACCAATTCTAGCCTTTTTAATGACTATAATTAATTGGTAGAGATATCAGAAAAAAAGACCCCCCATGTACATCAGAGTATACCAGTGTAAAATAACTCAACGGTATAATCTGAAGAACATACAACCTTTCTAAATTCACACAATTAGATTAGGTTAGAGTACTAAAAAGTCATATTGATAGAAATCTTCTCTTAGAGGAAAAGACACATTGAAGGGCATTAGATAAATATTCATTTTCTTAACTGCACATCTGGTTGGAGTCATGGCTGAGTGGAGCCGACATTGGGTGAGAGGTGGGGTAGGCAATTTACCAGGCCATCACAGGGCTTAACCCACAGAGACAGACAATCATTCACCCTTAGATCTACACCTACAGCCAGTTTGGTGTCGCAATTTACACCCACTTACATTAATTAATAAATATATGAAATAAACATTATATAAGAGGCTGGGTGGGGTGGACCCTGTCCCAGCAGCTCATAGGGCAAGAGGCGGGGTTACACGCTGGATAGGTCGCAAATCTGTCGCAGGCAGATTGGAAGGCCACGGTTGCCAAAATTGGTTCCTGGGAAATAGAAAATAAATAAATTATTCGGTAACTCTCTGAAATCTCAACTTTAATTATTCAAGAACCCGATGTATTTATTATGGCCTTTGTTTGAGAACAACAGCTGGATAACGTTTCCCCATAGTGTTTCTCCCCTTTGGCTTTTACACATGCTGTGTTTATTATCAAAACCTGTTTTTACTGGCAGGTTTTGAACAAGCCCTCTACTTAAAGTAATGTGAACAATAATGATTATAGTGGTAAAACACTTTTCTAAAACAATGCTAAAAAGGCTTAACAGGGACCTAATAAGCTCAGCGCATATCTTTGGACCGCATCATTTAATGTTATAGTCAAAGAATTTCTGAAGAGTCCTGATGGCGCTGTCCTCTTTCCTTAGGTGGTTGCTGCGGCTCTGATATCAAAACCTACGTCGTAGGAGGATGGTCCTGGGCTTGGTGGCTCATCTCAGACGCCCAAAGGTGACAGTGTGCTAGAAGCAATGATGTAAATGTTATCTTGAAATATAATATGGAGCAAGCTTTCTAATTAGACCACAGCGAAAAAGATTAACCACAAGAAAGTCAATTGCATTATCTGAAGGCCATCAAAAGGCAAAGTGAGGAATGGAAGCTGTTCTCCCACACTTTGTCTCATATTACACACAGTGTGTTTCCAGTCACATTGTATACAAACATTTCCTCTTACATGACTGGGGTAGTGTTACTGAGAACTAAATGTATTCTGCTCTCTTAATGTGCAGTGTGCTAAGTGCATATCTCACATAAATGTTTTGTGAGTTGTCATAGATAAAATGTTTTATTGCAGGATTTATATTTTACACAGAACTGAATGGTCAGCAAACCCTTTGTGAAATGCTTAATCCCATCATTTTAACTTTAGCTTTGGCTAAAGTTGTTATACTCATAATTCAAGTCATAATTGAATAACTGAATCCTAACAGTTCACTTTTGTTAACAAACAAAAGTGATCTGTGAGTAGGGAATTGCCTTAAAGTGCAAAGAAGCTGGTTTTTGTTCTCTGGTAAGAGACATCGGTTTCTAGTCACAAGTAGATGCAGTGCTTCAGCTCTGTGTTGAGTAGTGTCTGAATAAACTATGAATGGAAGTTAACAAAACACAGCTGCATGTGGACAGTGTAAACAAACTCTTTGGCAAACAAGTGCTTCACACAACCATCGGACAGGTGTGTTGAAATGTGAAACTAAGCAGGGTGGATCCATCCCCAACGTACTGATTCTTCAATACAATTCAATTCAGTTTTATTTACGGCCACGTGAAAAAGAAAGTACAGCCTTAATGCCTACATAGGAATTAACAGGGTAAGTAGCAGCCAGGTGCTGCAAATTCAGTGCGCTTGATTAATTGATCATCAGCAAGTGTGAGCACATCTGTAAAAGCGGGAGTTTTGGCATTGTAGTGGTCAGGATCATTCAGGTGTGTGTATCGACAAATCATTAACACAGTGTTAATACAATCTCCCCAGGAGTGGGTATCCCACCTGATTCACCGCACCTTGCAATGCTCTGAAAGGCTGCAACACCCCCCCACCCCACACCAAGTGTTGTTCTCTCTAAAAAGAGCATGGCAGCACAGCCTAGGTTTGTAAAGCTGCATCTAAACAAACTAAAAGACTTCTGGAGCATTATCCTCTGAACAGATGAGACCAAATAGAGATGTTTTGCCTTAATGCACGGCACCACGCTTGAAGAAAACCAAACGGAATATCAATACAATGCTTTACCCCAGCTGTTAAGCATGGTGGTGGGGGTGTGGCAGTTTAGCCACCGTGCAGTCATTGAGTCAACCATTAACTCCTCTGTTTACCAAAGTGTATGTGAGTCAAATATGAGGCCATCTGTCTGACAGCTAAAGCTTTGAGTCGTGGTACAAGACAATGATTGATATGCACGTCAGCAAATCTACAACAGAATGGCTGAAAAAGGAAACAAAGTGTTGCAGTGACCCAAAGTTCAGACCTCCACCTGACTCAAGTGCTGTGGTAAGGACTTATGTATTTAAACACATATCTGCAAATGTCAATGAAGTGAGGCAAACTTGTATAGACGAGTAGACTAAAATTCGTCCTCTATGATGAAAGAGACGGATAATCATACAGAAAGTGATTACTTCAAGTTATATACTGACCTGGGGTGTACTTACCGCAATCAGAATCAGAATACTTTAATGATACCTAAAGAAATTATATGGTTACAGTTGCTCCAAGACAAAAACAGTAACACACTGAACTAAATTATAATACAATATATTCCAAAGTTTACAAAATATAAGAAATGGCTCTAATATATACACAAAGCTCAATTATAAATATCCAGAATATCACAGAGGTGACATTTTGTTGTTATTTGTTATTTTCACTGTAGAGGAGGTGCAATTATCAAGGGTGTAACTATTGCGCTGTGTACTGTGCATTAGATGGATGAGTTGTACAGCCAGAGGCAGGAATGATTTCCTGTGTTGTTCAGTGGTGCATTATGGGTAATCTGTCTCTCATTGAGCGTGCTCCTGTGACTGGCCAGCATGTTATGGAGTGGGTGGGAGGTATTGTCCAGCTTTGTCCTTATCTTGGACAACATCCGCCTCTCAGACACCGCCTTAAGGGAGTCCAGCTCCATCCCCACAACATTACTGGCCTTGCAGATCAGTTTATTGAATCTGTTGGCATCTCAACCTGATACCCAGCATGCAATAGCAGGGAGGATGGCGCTGGCCACAACAGACTCAAAAAAACCCTGAGCATTATTCAACAGATGTTAAAAACCTCAGCCGCCTCAGAAAATAGAGACGACTTTGGCCTTTCCTGTAGAGTGCAGTTTATTATCTATGTGTACTCCAAGGTATTTGTAGCCCTTACAATGTGCACATCGACCCCCTGGACTGAAACAGTGGTCACAGGTTTCCTGTTGAATGAACTGGAAAAGTCGAAAAACATGACGCTCACAGTGCTTGCCGGCTGGTCTAGTTTGGTGTAGACATGATTAAGCAGGGAGATGATGGCGTCCTCAGCTCTGAGGCGGGGCTGGTAAGCGAACTGAAGGGGATCCTGATGTGGTCTGACTGTAACAGGCTGCACACAGAAACTTGCACTGCACTGCAGAGAATCATGTAAAAAGTGTCTTTTCATAAGACTTTGATGAAAGGTCTCCTCAATGCCAGATAGAGACACTCAGCAGTCAGATGATCCCCTATAAATAAAGACTTGAAGATGGCGTGGAGGAAGAGCTCTGAACTGGAAGAGACTTTCACAACCATCTGCTGTGACTGGCTGGGTCAAAAAAATTTTGCTATAGTTTTGTTTTTGTTTTTTGAATTTCATGTACCACGATTATACCGTCCAGGACATTTTAAATCTCTTTTGCAAGAGTGTCTTACACAAATTGTTATATGCACAGTAGACACACACATAACCATAAAGACTGAGGTATAGACTCAGGGTTTTCCTTCTGCATTTTGGGATCTTTCAAGGAAAAGAAGCAGGAATTTAGCAGTTTTCAGTAGTTTTGCTAATTTTGGTTTCTTTTACTCCACTAAGGGATTTTGTGTTTGTCAAATGTTCAGTAATAACAGGTAAATCTATGGATTTCTGTTAAATAACACAACACATACTGCCTTTTACTGAGTGAGGAATGATTGTGCTCAAGCCCAAACTTACTGCCCAGAGGCCCATTTGAAGGCAGGAATACTCTTAGTGTTAAATATTTAAAGGTTCCACCTGTTGCTCTGTTGTTTCAGAGTCTTGAGGCGGGACTGGGCTGCCTAATAACTGTGCCTGTGTTTGTTGCTGTAGGCTAAGCCTGGAGATAATGACTCTGCAGCCAAGATGTGAGGATGTGGAGACAGCAGAAGGAGTAGCTATCACTGTCACAGGGGTGGCTCAGGTAAGACCAGATCCCAGCGTCTTCTCTGTGAACGCTGACACAAACACTTACACTTACTCACTCAAGCCGAGCCTATTTGTCAAACATCATCTGTTATCAAAAGTGTCGTGTTCTGCTGCAGTGCTTTCTGATGTTTTCTGAAATGTGGCCCTATAATCTAAAGGTGTAATTCCAAAGAAAAATCAATCAGTGCTTCCCAACAGACTGCCTCATAATCAGCAGTCTTATTTATTTATTTAGTAAAATGACTTTAGCATACTTGATGAACCCCTTTAGCCACAAAAACGATTGTTTTGTTGAGGAATGCAAGGAAATAACTGTAATTTGGCATCTCCATTAAAAAATAAAGTGTGCTTTATTATTTTTGTCCAGCGTTTTTGGAAATAATTCAATTATAATTTAGCATGAAAAATATAATGATCAAAGAGCTTGCATATATTGGTTAGTTAGCCATTAGAAAAAAATATTTTGGTAATTATCAATACTGTTAATTTAGGACTGCTGTGGCATGAACCTTGGACTGGGTGATGGTCTAGCAAATGTGTTTAGTACTGTACATAAAGGTGGGCACACTCAGAGCATCACAGTCTGTCTATAACAAAACTGCACTTCTGATCATTCACAGAAGAAAACATCAAAAAAGGCATTTTGGATCAAATTTACAGTCGTATCATAGGTTCCTGGTCAAAACAGCATATAAAAGCATGAAAAGGTGTTGTTGCATTTTTATCTACATTTTCTTAACAGGCTCATCTTCTAGCCAAACAACGTTGGTGTTAGCACATTCATTTTCAAAATTCTTGACTTAAATTAAATGAACTTTGCTTGATTGTTTAAAATTGCACTGATGGCACTCTGAGCCCATGTGCCATGATTGCTTCTCAGTGTAGAAAGCTTGCTGTGTAAACACACTGTAAGTGTGTCTCCTTCAGGTGAAAGTCATGACGGAGCAGGACCTGCTGGCAGTGGCTTGTGAGCAGTTTCTGGGTAAATCAGTAACGGAAATCAAAGGTGTGCTGCTGCAGACTCTGGAGGGACATCTGCGCTCCATTCTAGGTGTGAACAGTTAACACTAACCACAACAGTAACACTACACATATATAGATTTTATTCCAAACAATATCATAGTTATTTTATTAATTTATAGTTTTAGCGTTCTTGGTTTACAAGTCCAGAATAGCTCCTCGTGCATGTATAGCAGAGAAGAAAAGAAGCAAAGTATTAAATTGATTATTGATTAGTTCCTGACTTTACTATACAAGTTAGCCTTAGTTTGCCTTTTATGTGTTATATATATTGTGTTGGCTTTTCTGTTTGAGGTCTGAATTAGAGAAGAAAAGTAATATATAAGTTCTGTATAAGTACTCGAGATGCACCAGCTTATTCAATGTGAAATATTATTTCCACAAGGAAAGACATTATTAAACTTTACAGTTTCCCTCAGTCTGCAGAAAGTTAAAGAATCTTCTGCTACTGGAAACCTTTACCTGACATACCAAACAAAGCAGGTGGTGCAGATTTATGTACTTTACATTTTCCAGTTTATAACTTCTCTGGAGACTTGAACTCTTTTCTATTTTCCTCATAATGGATTTGATCCCTTGGCTGCACATACTGAGGCTGCTAGCTTGTGGCTGTTTCTGAGCTCTGGATAGCTTTAGCACTTTTCCTTCTTTCAAATGTTAAGCTGGGCGAGAGTGATTTTAAATGTGTGATTGGAGTTGTTGTTTACCAGGGTTTCTGGGGTGGGCCTCCAGACTTTTTTTTTGTCTTGACTCACAATGAGTAGCTTCCACACTAATAACATTAAAATTACTGTGTGAATTTGATTGTGCTTTTGAGCATTTGCCTCTGTGCACATGCTGAAACGAACGGACTTGGATTCAGACATATGTGAGGCTGACTGAGAACACTGGCAGTCGTCAGACTGTGGTCTACTGACCGGTCGATCTCTGATGAGTACCAGCAGCTCTGTGCTGACCATTTATGCTACTTGAGTTCAAGGGGTGATGCATTTCTCTGACAAATTTCTGATGCTATGATGTGAAATAAAAAATTAATTTGGATCAAAAATAAAGCTGCCCCGCATCGAGCTGCTGGTAGTTTGTTAAAAGTGAATTGCAGGCTAAATGATGTTGAACGATGTGTCTCTTTTGCAGGTACTCTGACAGTGGAGCAGATCTATCAGGACAGGGATCAGTTTGCTAAACTGGTGAGGGACGTAGCAGCTCCTGACGTCGGCAGGATGGGCATCGAGATTCTGAGCTTTACCATTAAGGTGAGTTAAAGGAAAATTAAACGAGTAATATAACAGAAGAAGTCAAATAAAAACAAGAATATTAAGTATTCATGTAAGTATATAACTACTTAAACCATGTAAGCGCCGTTGGTGCTCTCCATTTTGCCTCAGTGTGGATGTGCAAGAGAGATGATGCAGAGTATCAAAACTTTAGCTTTAAGCCACATTTCTTCAATCAGAAGAAATGCGACACTGAGACGGCGACACATGGGGCAGACAGTCGTTCAAACATTAATCAGCAGCCTTCCCATCTTTCTTTTTAGACTGTAGTTTTGTAATATTACTGAAACTGAAAAAGGTCTTTCTCTGAGCTGTTGATGCTGCTGGTTATTAGAGTAGTCAATCCTAATGAGTTTAACTGGTTTTTATAATTGTCTGGACTCACCCTGTGGAGTTCACTGTTGCTCATTAGAACTAATTGAAGTGTGTGGTGTGGACAGAGCGGCTGAGGTTAGTGCTCTGCTGAAACACAAAGTCCATTTCTGTAACATCTTTTAGTCCATGTCAGGATTTCTGTAACACGTCAGATTCTGGACTTTAAAATATGATTGAATGTTACATGTAGAAATGAGGCTGTTTGAGTGCCACCCTGTCATCTGCTTTCTTTGCACCCACAAAGGCCCAGCATTTTTTAATCTGTATGTTCTGTTTTATTTTGGCTTCGTAACCTTGTTAATCACATGAAAGATGTTGATATACGCCACACCCAGTTTAATGTTACGTGTCCTGTGGTTCTGTGTTTTCAAAGGATGTGTATGATAAACTGGACTACCTGAGCTCCCTTGGAAAGACCCAGATTGCAGCTGTCCAGAGGGATGCAGACATCGGTGTGGCCGAGGCAGAGAGGGATGCTGGGATACGGGTAAGAAAATCTAGCAAGCTTGAAATTGATTCTTCCGTGCACAGAGACCAGCTGTTCACAGCTGTTTCCCTATTATCACCTTAGGAAGCCGAATGCAAGAAGGAGATGATGGATGTTAAATTCAAGGCTGACACCAAGATGGCTGACTCCAAACGAGAACTGGAGCTGCAGAAAGCTTCATTCAACCAAGAAGTCAATGCTAGGGTCGGTACTGAATGTTTCGTTTGCACTTACAGGTTGTCTGTGTACAGTTCAAATAAAAATACTTGTTATTATACTGTATTATACTCTGCTTTACCCAAACTTATGGCTGTTCCCAAAAAGTGCCAGTCTGTATTAAATCACATGGTGTGTAAACAATTTACCTGAAATCTGCAGTTAGAGTGATTAAAATCAGAAAAACAACATGTGCTCTTTTGATCTGAAGTAATGTATTAAATTAAAACTTCAAAATGTGCACATGTCAACACAAACAGAAACTGTTGCCTCAGATGTAAATGCCTTAGACCACCTCTGTGTTGATGTTTTCAGAAAGCAGAGGCCCAGCTGGCATACGAGCTGCAGGCTGCCAAAGAGCAGCAAAAGATCCGGCTGGAGGAGATTGAGATCCAAGTGGTGCAGCGGAAGAAGGAGATTACAATTGAGGAGAAGGAGATTGACCGGACAGACAAGGAGCTCATTGCCACTGTAAAGAGGCCTGCTGAGGCCGAGGCCTATAAAATGCAGCAGCTGGCTGAGGGCGAGAAGTGAGTAAAAAGACATTCAGTCAGATTTAGGAATGCGTAGAAATGGCAAGATCCCCAAGAATGTACCACAGCTCTTGTCAGACATGATTAGCAGCACATTACCTCCCTGATGTAAAATATATATTTATTTTGTTGGTTTAATCCCTGCAGAATCCTACAAAACAAACACCTGGAAAGTTTGGACTAAGGAAGCATGACTGTGTTTTTAACGATATATTTCCATATATGTTTTTCCTTATTGAAGTGAAATGTATCGTGTAATTTCCAGGTGCTCTGTATGAAAAGGTCTGTGCATGTCTAATTGTACTGATTTGCAAAAAGCTGATATTCCTGTGCATCCACCTGTAGAAGCAGAGCAAAAGAGATTTGAAATTTATCGTGTGCTGCTGTGGAAAGCTGTAAAAACTATCCCACCATCCAAAACTTGTGCATGAAGACAGATTAACATATGACACGTCACTAAGAAGCAAATTGTCTCAAAGTTGCATCTTACCCACTCAGGAAGTGATTTTGATAACAGCAAATATAACTTTAATGTTTCCCTGCTTCAGGCTGAAGAAAGTGCTGATTGCCCAGGCTGAGGCCGAGAAGATCAAAAAGGTCGGTGAGGCGGAGGCTAGCTCGATTGAAGCGGTGGGAAAGGCCGAGGCTGAGAAGATGAGACTGAAGGCTGAGGCCTACGAGCAGTACGGAGATGCAGCTAAGACAGCTCTGGTCCTCGAGGCCCTGCCTAAGGTAACACACAGATATGTGCTCATACAGCTCAGGCAAAGGAAGAGAAGAACTTGGATGTCATTTTACAAGCATCACCCGGCCCGAGGTTGATGAATTGGAAGCATTTTTCTTTTTATGTCCACGTGAATTTAAGCACTAGTTTTTCATCACTTCAGTTTCATCACGTTTTGGTTGCTTTTAACGCTTTGGCACAAATGTTATTACTAAGAATTCAACAATGGGTGATCGTAAAGAACCATAACCCCAGTCTATTAAAAAAATCCATCTGTACTGCTTCCAGCACTGCTGTCAACCTCAGCCATCTGCAGAAAGCAAACATCGACTTCTGTTGGATTTCCCCTCCTGCACCAAACTCACTTAACTTTCATTTGGAGGATCATTTTGTGCTAGCATGCTAGCTGATATTTCTGTTTGCTTTTGTAAATTCACAGAGTTATGCATTTTGAATCGATCCCCCAGAGTGAGACTGTCGGTGCTCAGATCTGCTGTAAGGTCTTGAAGCGTCTGAGGGGAAGACATTCAGGAGAAACAACCTGAACTGTGGCAGGTGCCATGCAGTGCTTTGGCCACACAAACACACTTTAAGCTCACCTCCCATCAGATTTCTCTCCCTTTGACTTTGAGTACTCATTTTCCCCAAAATTCAATTCAATTTTATTTATATAGCGCCAAATCACAACATAAGTCGCCTCAAGGCGCTTCATAGATACAGAGAAAAACCCAACCATCATATGACCCCCTATGAGCAAGCACTTTGGCAACAGTGGGAAGGAAAAACTCCCTTTTAACAGGAAGAAACCTCCGGCAGAACCAGGCTCAGGGAGGGGGGGCCATCTGCTGCGACCAGTTGGGGTGAGAGAAGGAAGACAGGATAAAAGACATGCTGTGGAAGAGAGACAGAGGTTAATAACAGATATGATTCAATGCAGAGAGGTCTGTTAATACATAGTGAGTGAGAAAGGTGACTGGAAAGGAAAAACTCAATGCATCATGGGAATCCCCGGCAGCCTATGTCTATTGCAGCATAACTAAGGGAGGATTCAGGGTCACCTGGTCCAGCCCTAACTATATGCTTTAGCAAAAAGGAAAGTTTGAAGCCTAATCTTGAAAGTAGAGATAGTGTCTGTCTCCTGAATCCAAACTGGAAGCTGGTTCCACAGAAGAGGGGCCTGAAAACTGAAGGCTCTGCCTCCCATTCTACTTTTAAATACTCTAGGAACAACAAGTATGAAATATGAACAAGCCATTTTTTGGCACACTTGGAGAGATTTGTCAGAGGCAGAAGTGCAGATTCCCAAAATCTTATGATCTCACATTCTCTGGCAACAAGCCTGCTGTCCCATGGCAGTTAGCAAAAAGTCCAGAAATGGTGGACCAAATTCAAAACAATCGGCCTTCCCGCTGATTTAAGTTTAATGGACCTGGAAAAGTGTTGATATTTGATTAGGTATGGGTTATTTAATGTATAATGAAGCTTTGGCCATGTCGAAACCTTCAACAGAACAAAAAGTTGGTATTTTTCTTTAGGCTAGTCTAACATGTCACATAAAACACCAGAGCTGGATTATTTCCGTCTTACTGTAAATGCTTAACAATGTCTTTGCAGATTGCTTCCAAAGTGGCGGCGCCCTTAGCCAGGACGAATGAAATTGTCATTCTGAGTGGCGAGGGCAGCCGCGTGACAGGCGAGTTGAACCGCCTTTTGGCCGAACTTCCTGTGTCGGTCAACGCTCTCACTGGAGTGGATTTGTCGAAGGTAACATCTTTATATCATTTTATATATGACGCGTTCCTGTTAACCTTTGTGATTCAGCGTGTTGGATTTAAGTTTTTGTTTCCAGTGTGAACCTAAAGGACGCTGAAACCAGCGAGGTTGTACTTCAGTTAAGCCTTACAAATAATCTGTTCGATTTTTTTGCAGATCCCTCTGCTGCAGAAGGTGACCGGCTCAGCTTAAGCCTGAAAACCGAAGACTCCACATGACTCCAGTCTCTGTTGTATGCACTCTCATTGACTGCCTTTAATACACTTGAAGATTTTTGTTGTTTTATACGTATACTCTGTATACCAAGTGAATTTTGGAAACCTCTGGTGCCTTACTTTATACAGGACCAGAAAATCTGCATGCACTGCTGCTCATTCAAAGATTTTGATTTTAGTTTAAAACTTGAATATTTTGTGATGAATTTTTATTTGTTGTGTTTGAATTGTATTTATTGGCCGGCTTGTATAAAACACAATTGAACAAGAGAGCTGATATTAGACTGAAAGATGAGGCAGATTATATTTGTTATTTATTATATCATAACACCTACTCTTTGGTAATTATACACTGAGGCCAGTTTGTACATTCTTTATGTTTCAGCCCTTTTGTTAATTTATATACCTCTGTTATGCGACACATCTGTATTCCACAGATAATTTCAATCTTTTGTTTCTCCAGTGTGTTTCATGTTGTCATTTTTACCAGTGAAACACTGTTTATGTCTCAGAAGTTGAGACAAAGGTGCTCTCAGTCTCAAAAGAAGCCCTGTTGATTTTTTTCAAATCTCCACCTTCAGTCCTTTGCAGACTTTGTCTGCTCCCCTCTGAATGACGTTTTTCTCTCCGCATCTGTTGATATTAAGCATGACACATTTTAACATAATTTATATGCTGACAGGGAAACGGGTAGCAAATTCTTGTGTTAATGTGGTTAGTGTGTAATGTGTATGACTTTTTTGATTTTTAATATATATATATATATATATATAGACATACATAATTACAGAAAATGGCCTTGTACTTTTTCGATGCAACATGTGTTTTAATGGAAATGAAAGGTGATTGTAATTCTAGGCTAAGTGACACGGCTTTGGAGATGGGTTATTTTTGAATACGCCTTTAATGGCGATGACCCAGAGGGCAGACGTCAGGAAGACAAACATTTATGCCTTTCCATATCTTTCAGTCTCCAATAATTACCTCTAATCATCCTCATGGCTCTCTTATTTAAAACAAA